AATCATGTTTTTAATTTTTATTCTCGTTTATTTTTTTTTAACAATTCTGTATTTTCTGAAATGTGTGTATGGATGTATATGTCTGTCTGTCTGTCTGTCTATCTGAACTGGCGACCTGTCTAGGGTGTTTCCTGCCTTCCGCTCGATGACCGCTGGGACAATGTGAATTAAATAGAAAATTTAAAAATTTTAAAAATCAACACTTCCAATTTGATCACTACATAAACACAGCTCGGGTCAGGCAGTGGACAGCGAAGGAGACGGTGGGACTAAGAGCAGTAATTCCGAATATGTTTCTCGCTACTACACATAACTATCTATTCCTGGATGAATTTGCTTGTTTGAACAATGCTTAGTTGCAGCTACACTATTGATTCATCTTATATTTACTTAATAGATGAATACTGAGAAATATTTCAACAGGAAATCATACAAGTAGGAGAAGAGACTCTTGAATGGCCTCAATCAGATTAGTCTATTCCAACTGAGGTCCTATCAGTCAGATTATTAATGGATTATTAGGCTGCATGTAAACATGGCTAGTATGTAGTTTCACAGTGGAAAAATACATCACTTACACTCAAAGAAGACAAAGACATAAACTGAGCCTGTAAATGAAAAGTCAGTAAGAAAGAACTGTAGTCATGATTCGTTTTCACACAAGCACTTTCCAGCTCGTCTTTATCCCTCAGAATTAAACAGGCTGTTTTCATCACTGTGCCTCTAGACTTAAGACTGACGCGGAAATGATCTCTGTTCTGATTGTTTGCCCAGTATTGTATGTGCCAGTCTGGGTTGAAATATGGCTTATAACTTCAGTGTGAATGGGAGAAACCTGCTGTAGGCTGAATAAGTCAATATATGCAAATACGTTGGATACTGTGACATCACAAAAACAATTAATTCAAATTGGGCTGTTCTTGCAGCTTAGTTTCCATATATAGATAGAGATTATGGAGTAAACGGCACATTTAGAAACTTCAACAATATTTACATACTAAAGCTCCACCCCATTTCACCCCTCGCCCCTAACACTTAGCCCTTAGTTTCTCATGTTCATGCCTAGGGGAAGGGTGTGCCCAATTTTTGTTGAGATAGAGGGGTAAGGCAAAGTATTAGGGCTACATGACCCTCCAAACAGAGGTTTTTTAGAGGCACACGCCAAACAGTGTTATGAGTAAAAAAAAAACGTGGTAAGATGGCTGCATGAGCGACCAAAAAAAACACACAAATATGAGTATTTACTCCATAAAAAAATGACGATAACCATCGTATTATTTTAGTTTAATGTTGTTTCAAAGTATTATTGTCCTTTCCTTCATAGCATGCATAAAAAATCACTAATATTATGCCGATGTCTCGGTAGCTAGCTGGCTAAATTTTTCTCGTTCCACCTTAAATAGTCCAGCAGTACTTGAGCAGTACTGGTGCCAGAATGTAACTCTTGCTCCATTTAAGGTGGAATGGAAAAATTCGAATGAGAAGCTGGCGAATAGCTGACTTCAGCTTCATATCACCAAAGAATCAGGGGTGGACAATAATAAATAATTGTCTTATACCCCTCTTTGAAGGCATATGATGTCCTAAATGTAACTAAAGCCCAGCAGTGAGGAGCTGAACTTTACCCTCCTTTGCTGTCACTGCAGACTGGCAGGGTCGCCTACAGAGCAGCGCTAGTAGCTGTTAATGAAATAATGCTCTTTTTTATTTGAGGGTCCCATTTCACAGGGGAAGATTTCAACCACTACCCCTGTAACTCAATTCCAAGGGCCTGCATCAGCCTTGTATTTCAAATACAACGAGGACCTTTCAATTTGGGCCTTCAAATGAAAAAAAAGAGCACTGGTATCACACTGGTACTCGGAATCAGCCAAGACCCAGAGTTCAGGTATCGGGATCATTTTCGGCAGAGAAAAAAGGTGGAACTGGTGAATTTAAACTTAAGATTGCAGTGCACTGCAACTGTACACTCAGCACATAGTTTATAGGGCTGAGGCACAGTGAAAGAACATGAACGTAGCCCATCGTGGCCAAAGAGAGCGTCAAACACAGCATAAACACAAAGACTAAAGGCAGGCTGTTTGTGTGGACGCCAGGGCTGATGAATGGATGGATGGAAGGGTGCGGGCAGGGTTCAGCCTGAGCTGGGGATTAGAGGGAATCTCCCCATTCTTTCTGCTCAAAGTGGGCCGGATGAGCGTTTGACAGGCTGGAAACCCCGCAGCCTATGATAGGTATGCGGCTTTTCTCTCTGACAGTCTGCCGGCCACACGCAGTCTTTCCACAGAAAGACGGCAGGCACGCTCGCGAAAACAAGGCCGAAACCGGGCGTTGGTGGGGGTTTTCTGGGGGAGACGTGGCCGTTTCTGCTGCGCGCAATGGTTTGAAAATGATATTGATTATTCTAGGTTAGATGCGAGCATTGATAAATGACCAAATGAACACATCTACAGCCGCAGCACACAGTACAGACGCATGAGCGCTGCTATGTACGTTGCGATTGTGTTTGTTTTCATACATTTTCAGTACAAAATCGTACCGACTATGAAGCAAAAAGCAAGGCTAAACTACAGGACCAATAAAATGCTAATATATATATATATATATATATATATATATATATATATATATATATATATATATAATGTTATATATATTCTGCGCTGTGCACTATGCTTGAAAATGATATTGATTATTCTAGGTAGGATGCTTATATCGCTATCCATCTATCTATCTATCTATCTATCTATCTATCTATCTATCTATCGCTGTGCTCATATCTCTATTTTTTTGGTCGTTTCTCAGTTTTTGACATAATGAAAGTATCAAAAAACCTGTTGCCGTTTATATTTTGTGTAAATTTCATGATGAATGGACCAAAAGAAACGACCCAGAATTACTTGGAAAAAAGTCAATTTCGATTGACTTACATTAAAAGTAAAGGATGTTTTCCTTCTCCTGTAAACTTACTATTTTGGAGATACAAGGTTTTGTTCCAACAACAGCAATATATACATACACATATATATATATATATATATATACATATATATATAAATATATATATATATATATATATATATATATATATATATATATATATATATATATATATACACACATACATACACATATATATACACATACATACACATATATATACACACACGCACATACATACACATATGTCACCGCTGTTGTAACTAAACCTTTTATCCCCATTTTTGTTGTTTTCCAGTTTCCAGTTTTTTACACTGCGCGTAAATTCCATGATGAATGGATGGTCTTTTCCCTCTCAGTTACTATTTTGGAGATACAAGGTTTTGTTCCAACACACACACACACACACACACATACATACACATATATATATATATATATATTTTTTTTAACTTATTTACACACACACACACACACACTACACTATATATATTTATATTTAAGCAGTTACATGTATATAATATATAAGAACATATGTATGACCCCACAGTCCCACACTGTATGAAAACAAACACACATGTGCGTGTGTGAGGTGTATGAACAGAACAGCTGTCTGCTCACTGACGCCCGCCCCTCGCAATGTCAGAAACGCTGATTTATATGCACCTAGAGCAAAGATATCTCAAGCGTCTCCAACTTATAATTCAAATCAGGCAGACGCCAGAGCCGTAGCCTGTAGATGTGCATTGGGGAAGGACACTGGAAAATAAACAAGGCAGCGTGGCGCGAGAGCCGCTGACATTTGACTGATTTCTGATGGGAAGTGACAGGAGATTGACATTAAATGAAATTCATACAGGGCACCCAGAACAAACCAACGTGTAAAAGACAAACAAACAAATAGAAAAACAGAGAGATCTTCACACTCCGCTATGGATGTGCGTGTGCCAGAGTCTGTGTGAAATGAAATAAGGCCCACAGTCGAGGCTTTACGCCCAGGACGACTCCATTTGCATGCATGAAAATTTCACCTTATCACAAATCTGAAATGCATCCATGATTCCATTCCAATTACACAGAGCTGCATTTCCAAGCCTTCGAAACGTAATCGGTCGTTATTTTTTTGGAGATTTCATATCTACCACCAATAATATCAATCATTATAACTTTACATGGTCCATAGTATTTGCATTTATATTCATACATTCCGTGTACAGGGATAAATATATGGAGATTAAAAAAATGCAGTAAAGCTATACATGTAAATTCTTCATAATTGAACCCTATATGATCTAAAAGATTGTTAGATACCCTGAATTTTAACATGGTTGCTATGCATGGGTATGTAGTAAAATACCGCAATTTAGCCTGAATTTAGAGTCAATTTATTTGTTTATTGTTTTGGGTGTTGGTACAGAAAAGTCAGTGTTGTGGTGCTGTGCTAGAGAAAGCAAGAGACAAAAAGAGGAAAAAACCAAGACAGCAATCACGAGAGAGAGAGAGAGAGAGAGAGAAAGAGCGAGAGAGAGCGAGCAAGAGAAAGAGAAAAAACCTAGAACGATCAAGAAAGAGAGGCACCAGAGTAAAAGCGAGCAAGAGGTTAAGAGGGAGTGGGAGAGGAAGAGCAAGAGAGAGAAAAAGTGAGAGAGAAAGGAAGAGTGGGAAAAAGGATAAGTGAGAGAACGAAGGAGAAAGAGAAAGAGAAAGAAATAGAGTGAACAGGCGAGAGCAAAGGACCGAGAGGCCGAGTGAGAGACAACACAAGAGAGAGAGAGAAATGGACTAACCGGGCAAGAGTGAAAGACAGCGAGGAGGAGAGGGAGTGCGAAAAAAAAGAGTGAATAGGCAAAAGCAAAAGAGCGAGAGGGAGAGAGAAAGAAAAAGAGGGAGCAGGCAAGAGTGAAAGACAGTTAAAGAGAGAGGGAGAGTGTGAGAGAGAGTGTGAGAGAGAGCGAGAGAGAGAGAGAGAGAGAGAAAGAGAGAGCGAGCAAACGAGAGAGAGCGAGCGAGCGAGCAAGAGAGAGAGAGAGAGAGAGAGAGAGACAGACACTCAGTCTTACCCTGGAGGACTCGTCATACGAAGGGCTGGACTGGCCACCTGGGGCCCAGGACGCCTCTGCTGTCCGCTCATCTATACCTGTCAACAGAGCAGATACACAACTCCATCAGACCTGCTCCACTCTACAGTACAGCGTGCACACACACACACACGCACGCACGCACACGCACGCACACACACACACACACACACACTGATGTTGAATGCCTTCATTTGGTGCAGATCATCGCAAAAATGCGTTCCCACCAAAGCTCCCTTGGAAGCGAACCGAGACGTGATTTTGCTGGACCACAGATCACTTGTTTGGCGCTGACCCAAACACGGGTGGAGTGTTCACACCTGACAAAACGGACCGAACTACAGAAAAAAGTCTTACAGGTCCACAACAGACAAAGGCCCGTAGGCCAGATCAGGCCTGTGACACAATCCTATCCGGCCTGCAAAGTAATTTCATTTTCTATTAATAGTAGCCCGTTTCACAATGCGCTGCATACAGTACCCAGCATGCACTGCAACCTAATGTGCGCTCTGACTCTCCTACCCCAACCACAGTCTATGGGACAGTGGATACACATTAATTCTACACCTTAAGTCCAACACTTTATAGAACCAAACACACTAGCTGCATTTCAGCTGCAGTTCAACCAGTATACACTCTTAACATTCACTCAGCAGCTCAGAAGTTGAGTCTAATTCAAGCAAATAGGTAGGTTTAAAAGACTGAGTTCCTGGGGACGTTTAAATTTTGAATATTTCAAGTATTCATGTAATATTTCAAGGTCTACTACAAGTGCCTATATTTTGCTGTGGACAATCTGACGTGTTTTAAATAAACAGGCCAGTTCAGGTTATAGCAAAATGTTAATTAAAAATGAAATAAAAACACAGGTGCTCTCCGGCCCACAGATTCTTTAAGATTTTTTAATATAGCCCTATTAGTGGTTGAGATTGACACCCCTGCACTAGATTAATGCCATTTTTACGGCCAAAGTAAAGACAATATACAACGACCACAACTTTACTCAACAGTCCCATTATGTTTATTTATCTGACAATAATTCTGCTCACACGCTACAGTTCGCTTCAGTGTTAGGGGCCGTCTCAAAATTACCAGAATGAAAAGTGTCGCTGCTGTTATTATTATTACTACTACTATTAGCAGTATTAGCAGTAGTAGTAGTTTAAATGTTTAAACATTTATTGTGGTTATTTACCACACAACTACCTGAGTAAGAGGACTGGGTTACCGGCACAGGTCAAAAATCACATACTGTAAGCCAAATATGTAGCAATATAGAAGTAATTTTCATACATAATTGTATTTCATACAGACCTACAGCGTATTTATCATCTGAGTATAGAAGTTTTGGATAGGGGTGGGTTTTATGATGATTTGTCATCACTGTATTGCTTTTAAACATGCTTTTCTGAGTATACTACGGGTATCGCTGGCACTTCTAGAAGACTAACTGCATCAAATATAGTGAGCCTGTAAACAACAACAACAACAACAACAACAACAACAACCAGAAACCTCATAAACTGCATAGTAATAAGCAGCTGACTGGACATCAGCCCAATGGCATCCTCTTATTTTATTCATTTGTTTTTACCTGTTTATTTTAATCATTTTTAAGTAGTTTATTTAAGCTAACACTAAATAGACGATACTACTGCCGTCAGTTCTTCACAGCCCTTTTAAATGTGACACTACTATTTTACTGGTGCATTTTATCCATTTGTAAAATTGAATATCATGCTGCTATATTTTTGCCCACTCTTGATTCGACTGTAGCAGTTCAAGAGGAGAAAGAAAAAATTGAAACGTTTCTTAAAAAACAATGAACATCAACAAGCAACCATTCATGTGCAATGAAAACGGAGAGTTCATACTAAGCAGGCGTGCACAGCAACATTCTGCTGGCAGGGGAAAGAAAGAAAGAGTGGAGAGTCGAGTGACTAATCCATTCTACTTCCATTCAAGAGCTGGGCTCTACACGCCGGCTGCCAATTCGCACTGCGTCATTTATTTTGCTTTACATAAATCACGCTCAGAAACATGTCGCTACCCTGCGCCGAAGCGCTGGCGCTCACACCGGAGCGACTGGGCCGCTCTGTGATTTGGCAGTGATGTATAGCTGAACCTCATCAAAACAGCTGAGCACTGAAACCTGATGAAGCTCATATTTTATGCCGCTCTCAAAGACAGCCACCAAAAACACGCAGACAAAAAAAATTATAAATAAATAAAAGTTGACAATTGAATAGATTCAACATCTGGTATGCGATGAACAAATACAATATCTAGTTCTCTCAAAATTGCATTTTGTCACTGCTGTTGGGTAAAGATATATGAATTCTTAGGTCTTTGCGCTGTTTGAGCCAATATTGTTTTGCAGGTAACAACATTCCATTCCACAGGCTCATGTACGAGCGGCAAAATTGCAGAAAAAAAAAAAAAACATCAATATCTCAGAGTTATTGATAATCCATCTCAGTAATTTCACCCCAGCACAATGCTCTTCATTTGATTCCTCCCTGTTACACCATACAAAACATATCAGAACTGAAGAAAACCAATTGTGAAGAACGCAGTAGTCCCTGCGCCGCCGCTGAGCGGAGATTACAGAAATAATAATAAAAAATTGATAAATGTCGGGCTAACATTTTCTTAACTATATGCAAAGCCTTACTGGCTGTAAACAGCCTCGCACTGCATGGCTGGGCAGGACACATACTAAACAGCAACTATGAGCTCGACACATTTGCATAAAGAGAACAACCAGAGAGAGAGAGAGAGAGAGAGAGAGCGAGAGAGAGCGAGAGAGAGCGAGAGAGAGCGTGTGACACAGAGAGAAACAGCAAGTGAAAGAGCATAAGAGAGAAAGAGCACATGACGGTGAAAGACAGTAAGAGAGGACAAGCAAAAGAAAGAGAGCGATATAGAGCATGAGCAAGAGAAAGAGAGAGCGTACGAGAGAGGCAGAGAAAAAGCAAGAGCATGAGAGAGAGCAAACAGAAACAAAGGGAGAGAGATATGACAAAGAGCATGAGAGAGAGAGAGAGAGAGAGAGAGAGAGAGGAGACAATATGGGAAATAAAACAAGTGATAGAAAGCATGAGAGAGAGAGCGACAGAGCAGGAGAGAGAGAGAGAGCACGAGAGAGAGAGAGCACGACAGTGTTGGCGAGAGAGAGAGAGAGCGCAATTGACAGAGGGCATGACGGAGAAAGAGTAAGAAAGGAAAAGGAAAAGTAAAAGAGAAAGAAAGAGTGATATGAAAAGCATGAGCGAGAGAAAGAGAGAGCATATGAGAGAGAGAAAAAAGCAAGAGCATGAGGCAGAGAGAGAGAGCAAGAGAGAGCATAAACAGTGAGACAGGGGAGAGAGAGATGACAAAGAGCATGAGAGAGAGAGAGAGAAGAGGGAGAGGACAACAAAGAGAAAGAAGTGATATAGAGAGAGAGCAAGAGAGCACACGACAGAGAGAGAGAGAGAGAGAGAGAGAGAGAGAGAGCGAGCGGAGAGAGAGAGACAGACACACAGCATGAGCCAGAGAGAGAAAGAGATTTTCTGCTTTTCTCCCCCTGAAGGCCTACAACACATAATCAGAGTGTGTGGGCAAAGACTGATCTAAATCCAAAGACAGCATACAGGCCAAACCGTCTGTGTGGCATTCCTGCAAAGCCAACAGCGTCGCCTGTTCAACACAAACCAAGAAAGCCTTTCTTATTCTCTCTTGTCATTCCGTAATAAAACACTTGGGCCACGGTTCACGTCACTGACAAACATGACGCACGACACTGACATACATGACATTAAGTGTCCAAAAGTATCCAGACACCCTTTCTAATGAGTGAATTCAGCTGCTTTCGGCTGGTTTTACACTGCGAAACGTCCATGCAACAGTTGCTTGAAACCTAAATTAGACTAGAGAGTCTTGCAACTCACTTGAAACTCAGCCGGTCAGTTGCAAGCATCTCAACTTAGTGGATCAAGCTTCATGAAACTGCCGATCGAAATGCTGATAAATCAAACATCATTATTTCAATTGGCTGATATTATCGGGTCAATGGACAGGAAAATAAATTTACATTCTGGCACCTCAGGCACCATCTAAGGTTGAACGGGAAAATTCGAACAAGAAGCTGGTGAATGAGAAGCTGATTTCAGCCTCGTAAAAAATCGAACGTTGAGAGACATTTTACAAGAAACTATTCCACTTTTGTGGAAAAGTTTCCTGCTGGAGATGCGAGAAAAGCGGCTACAGCTGAGCTAAAGCTTAAAGCAGAACAGAGTAAGTCTGCGTTTTTGTTTATATCATATTTTCAGCCTATACTAATACTTTGGCCCATACCGAGACATATTTACAGCCGTGATGGTAAAATGGACATAAAATGTTTTGGCTCTCAAGGTGGTCTTAACATTTGGGCTGCAACCCCTGACCTATGGTAAAGCCTTTCCATAGGAGCAGAGGCTGTAACTACAGCAAAATGAGAACAAGTTCCCTATTAATGTCCTTCATTTCAGAAGAAACACTGGAATAGCAGTGTCTACAAACTTTTGGACATATTCAGCTGTATGAAAAAGTTTAGGTGATCTTGGTCTAAACACGTGTTGATTTTCTAGGTGAAACGAAGTTAATACATAATCTACACAGAACACACTTATCATGTTTTAATGCACAATTACTGCTTATTTGCTGAATTTAACAAAACTGGGAAAACATGGCCTGTGCAAAAGTTAAGGCACATTTTACATTTAGTTTTATTTGTTTCCATGATAAACTAAGCAAAACATAATTGACATAATTGACAAAAACATGTAATTTGACTAGCATGTTCAAACCTTCGCATACAACTGTGGTGTATATTAGAGATTTGAGTAAACCACACCGAGCAGATACGATTTTTGGTCTGTGTGTTTATACCATCTGAAGCAGAGGGGTGGTGGGCTGGGGGGAGGAAAAGGCCTCATTCTGAAAACAAAACAGTGTTTGAGAGCAGAAATTGGGCTGGGTCACTAATTCACACTCACTCCGAGCTGGAATGTGTCAAAAAAAGAAAGGACATGTGTTC